ATAGGTCAATATATATGCAAATATTCTCATAGATGAACTGTATATTGGAGACTAGCATACTGGGAAGTGAAGATACATTGCTGTATGCATCTCTACTTTCAAGTAAAAGGAGGAATTCCAATGAAATTTTTAAACATAGCTTGAGAATTTGATAGAGCTTTTCTAGCATTACCTATACCCATAATGTCATGATAGAATAAATTGCAAAATATATATTTTTTTTTAGGTTCACTAAATTTATTTTAAAAATCATAAAACGTTTCTTACAAAAGAGCATTACATTCTGCACACTGCTCTGAACAGATGCCAGGGATATGTGGATTAGTTACTTTCCTTCCCTGTCCCACCCCCCAAATGTTACAGTGACCACAAAGCAAGGTGTTCACAATAATTGCATGGGGGGAAATTTTTTAAACCACCAACAATAAACAAAAAATAAAATCCACTCACTCTGCTGTTGTTTCAAAATCTCAATGTTAGTTTTTGCACGCCCTTCCCCCCCCCCCAACCCTGTTTGTAAGGAACTAAAACATTACATCTGGTGAACAGCAAAGATTTTCACTACACCTCAAATGCAGAACACCTATGAAGCAGAGGAATGTTGGCTTTTTAAACAGAAGCAGATAAAAAAAAAAGATGCAGGACTCCTTCAGTTCTTCACTAGTCTTAGAAAAACTTTCCAGAATACTGCTTCACACTGTTCTGCAGCAAATACTGTGCATTCTGTATCTGGTCCTGTGTTCCTGTAATGGTAATGATCCGATCTTCGGATCCTTCTAAAGGCTCATCTAAATTGCAAAATATTAAACCTTTATGTTACTAATGGCCTATACTATTGTGATAATATGCAGGAAGATAATGAGAGGGGAAAATAGGAAGAGAGAAAGAAAAGAAGGATGTTGAGGATATCTATTCCTACAAAACTACATCATAGAAAATAACAACGGTTAAAAAATGTAAAAAAATAAAATAAACAAAGAAACAAAAAACACCCTGGCTAAAATATAAAGTCTACAGGACAGCTTCCTCCATTTCAGAGGGAATGTAAGACAGCTCAGCTCAAGGATAAATTGTTCACTGTCATGCAAACACAGGGTAAAAGTCTAACTCCTGTGTCTGCAATAGGCCTTCTGGAGTTATATAATTGGATTGTAGAAATTAAGTTACAACATTGTAATCAAAAATTCAGAAAAAATTCAATTCATATGCTTTGTATCACTCCTTTCTTTCAACCACCTCTTTCTCCTTTCCTTCCCTCTTTTAGTTTGCTTTCAATATTTTTTTTTGTGTTTTGTCTATATGTGGCACTATATTTCAATAAAATAATGTCTAACATAAATATATTGCCAGTTGAGTGAAAATATTGTTGGCCCTTTTCTCTAGTAACATCTTGAAGGCTACCTAAGAACAGAATAAAACTCATTTTGATAAAATTTCTATGAGAAACCCAAAAGGAAATTTCAAATGTAATAGAAACGCTATCAGGAAACCACAGGCTGCACTTGGAGCTTTTGCTTTCAGGGATAAAAATTTAATGTAAGGAGTATATAATTTTGATTTTTCTGAAAATGTTTATATTGATCTTGCTTTCATTACTCAGAGTTGCTAAATAACATTTATTCTTTTTATTCTCATCTCCTAAAATAATTTGAAATGTTACATAGATGCTTCTAAAAGGCTTGAATATGATGAGAAATTTGTATTATGTTCATACTTCTGTACCCATGAGGTTCATTTCCTCTCTTCACCATCTGTACTCAATGGCCAGCTTCTCAAGAATTGTATTCCTGCGATATTTTTTGTATCCTCATCTTGATGTTCTTCCAAACACCCTCAACACTACCTGACAGTATAGCACATATTAAGTTTATTATTTACCTCTTCATTTTAGAATTCTAGAGTGTTAAAACTGAGCTTTTTAGCTGAGATGCTCTAAGAGAACTGTTTTCAACAAACTGAATGACAAATAAATGTTTTCTGAATATATGAATCACTCAACCTCCAGAATTAACTAGAGTGAGAATACTTGAGAACAGATTCTATGGACGGATGCATGGATGGCTGGGCATCATCTTAGTGATCAGTTCTGGTTCAGAATTTAAAAAAAAATAAACTTATGTTTTTACTCTACTTTTTATGGTGGTGATGTTACCTCTAGGGATATCACACTTTGATAGTCACTGACTTTGGAAACCTTTTGGGATTGATGAACCAGTCCTTTTGCCAGTCAAAGCTATTTTTAAGCAAGTAGTTTAAATTCTCCATCAAATAAATTCATCATCTCTCTCCTCTTTAAGCTTCAACAAGGACTTAATCAAGATGTATTTAGAATTACTTTCAATTGAAAAGCTAATTAAAATAATCTTTGTAACTTTCATCAGCGGAGGGGCACCGAGCCAAATATAATAGAAGTTGATAAATGTGGTGTTTTCCTTTCTAGAAAAAAAATTACTTTTAAAAAGTATTAAAATATGCAAAATGAGAATACAAAATTTATCCTTTCCACCATTCATTATAGTCCAATGGTACTGACCACATTCATATTATGAAATCAGTCTCCAGATCCTTTCCATTTTGTGAAAGTGGAACCCCATATCCATGAACATTAACTTCTCTCTTTGCTTCCTATAGATCTTGGTAATTATCCCTCTACTTTCTATTCTGATAATTTGATAAACTGATATAAAATACATCATATATCTAAAATCATACATTAGTTGTCTTTTGGACATTAGGTTTTGAACAGGGAATAAAGTTTCGAAAAATGTAGCATGTATCACAATTTTCATCCATTTTAAGGCTGAAGAGTATCTCATTGTTTGTACATATTAATCTTGTTTAGGTATCGATTCACCAAAGAACAACAGTGCATAAATGCCTTTTTGGGATTCTTCCTTCAATATCTTTAGGTATATACCAAGAGTTGGGCGCTAGCTTCCAGCTAATACAGACTCTCAGAGAGCAAATGATGGTTCATGTGCTTGGGTTGCTGTTACTGATGTGGAAGACCTGGGTTGAGGTCCTATTGCTGCTTTGGTGACTGGCTTGGGGGATGCCAATGGCATTTGAACAGTAAACCAGTATGTGAAAAGTCCCTCTTTATGTCTCCCTTTTTCAAACTAAAAACTTTATAAAAACTATCAGTAAATTCTAGGTTCTGAAATGACCTTGAAGATTTTCTTCTGTGTTCTCAGTTGCTTAACTTATAGCCCCATTTTGTTTGACTCCTAAAAATTATAATTGTATCAATGTCTCCCTCAATTAACATTAAACTTTAAATTTATTTCAACCTTTTAGTATTATTATTTCATTATTTACACTTTCACTTATTTAACAGAGCTACAGAGAGAGAGAGATTGTGTGCATATGTGTGTGTGTGTGAGAGATTTAGAGAGAGAATGAGAGATTCTCTCCAAATGGCTACAATGGCTAGAACTGGACCAGAAAAGCCAGTAGCCTAAAATTCATCCAGGACTCATATGTAGGTATAAATGGCTGAAACATTTTGTTCATCTTGCACTGCTTTCCCAGGTGTATAAGCAAGGAGCTAAAGCAAAAGTAAAGCATCCATGTTAAGGACTAACACCCAAAGGAAATACCAGGAGATGTCCCAGGTGATAACTTCGACCTGCTGGGCCACAAGGCCTGCCCCTAAGAAATTGAAATTGTACTTTCTCAGTGTAAGCTCAGTTCATGTTCTTTGATATTTCTAAAATTCTACAGGGTGTTGGATAAATAATTAGGGACAAATAGAAGTTTGTGTATTATTCTAGGAGAATGAGTTTATGTATTATTTAATATATAAGCCAAATAATACAGTTAAGTGAACCAAATTTTATAAAAGAATTTTCTATTTAAAAATCAGAGTTCCAAAAAGAGTGGGACAGGTGGATAGAGAAATAAAGAGGGAAAGAGAGATCTTCTATCTGCTAGTTTACACCCCAGATGGCTGCAACAACCAGGCCTGTGGCCGGAGCCAGTAGCTACTTCAAGGCTTCCTACATGGGTAACAGAGGCCCAAGCATTTGGACTATCTTTCACTGCCTTTTCCCAGCAGGCAGCTGGATCCAAAGTGGAACAGCTGGGACATATATTGGCTTTCCATTTAGGATTCTAGTACCACAGGAGACAATTTTACTGCTATACTACAAGGCTAGCCCACATGAGCCAATTTCATCAGAAAATTGTGTAAGATTCTTGAATTCTGAGTATTTAAAATTGGGCCTATCTCTTTGACTATGAGGGAATTTGAGTTGAGACTACTACAAACTTGTGAAATCAAATCCCACAGCAAATTTCATTAAAATTAGTAGTCTTTTTCATTGATGCAAAAGGGAGTAGGCTAAATATACAACTTTGTTTCATATTTTCATTTCTTTCCTACATGTATCTGAAAAACAAAACAAAAAAATGGACTTCCTTGCAACAAAGTCAGTTTACTGCATTATGTTTTAAAATGTGTTTCTTAGGTACTACTGTAATTTTTGTAACTGTTAGATGTTGCCATCTATATTCACAGCATGCAAAAAATGGTTTTATTCACCACACATGCTATGAAGTACACCCAGGTTGAATATAGTATTTTCTCTAAGATAAACATTATGCTATCAGAAATGAGGAGTCAGGAAATAAGAGACTTTCTAATACTGTATTTAAAAGGATTGCTGTGAGCTCTGAGTGCTTACAGAACAAGTAAATGCATTCATCTACAGTTTTCAATCAGCCACTCTGTTGTTCAGGGAGAAGATGATGGTGTAAGCACCTGAAAGTGTTTTATTTAGAAAATGATAGGAAAAAGAAAGATCTGAGGCTAAGGTAGGCTGACAGGGTGACTCAGTAATCCCAAGGATCCACAATTTTTCACATATTTGCAGCAAAATTTCCATGGCTCAATTACTTACCAGGACAATGTTTTTCAATGATCTATGATTAACACATATTGCACCCCCAAAAGTAATTAAGATGTTGATACACAAAGCAGACATTCCCAGGAGCCTTACTTGGAGGCAGATCCTTCATTTTGGGGATATGAAAATATTCCTTGAAGTGTTTCAGCTCATCCTTCTCGTCAAGGTGGAGAGCGACCCTCTCGTCTGTTGGGTGGCATTGCAGTGCGGCTGCAAGCCGTTGCACTGTGTCAGTCGGCAGCTCAAGAGGAGGCTCCATGACAAATGGTTCCCTAAAAACGAAAGATAATAAAACATCATGCAGCCATCATCATTTTCCTGAAGAGAAATAGCCTTTTATAATAAAGACTAAACTGTTTATTTAGGTAAGAGTCTCATTGCCCCCTTCTAAGAAATCATCTGATTAATCAACCAACTTTAAAGTCCATGTTATTTCCCTCATATGGAAAATGAAGAAAGTAATAATTGAGAGGCATTACATGAGCAAATTAGTTAACAACCCTCAGGACACAGCAAACATTAGCTCTTCTTGTTCTTTTTATTTGTAGCAATGAGCTGCACCACTAGTTTCCAGACATTTAGAATGTCATTACCTTTCTTTGCAGATCTCCTCTTAGAAACTAATAGCAACAAAAAGCTTCTCTTCTGCTACCTAGCTTATTTTACTAATGCACCTCCATAATATCATCCACAATGGCTCTTGAATAAAGTTATGGTCACTCTGAACCTTACAATTATTTATTGTAACTAAAAATGAAAAATATTACTTAGATGCTCATATTTTTTATAATACCAATTCCATAAGATCTGTCCTTGTTGCTGATAATGACAAATGTATTATTTGTCAAATACTGTTTATACCAAGTTAGAAGAAACTAGACTCTGGTATTTTTTAAAAGCACATTTTGCTGCTTAATCATCAAGTAGCATTTTTTTTTTTACCTTTTAAGAAAATCAACTTAATATTTACAAAAGGAAACAAAAAGACTATAAAGAATTCATCATACATGTGAAACTTTCATGATTATTTTTGTTGTTGTAAATATTTATTTGTACTGGAAAACTGGATTTACAGAGAAAAGGAGAGACCTATCTTCCATTTGCTGGCTCACTCCCCAGGTGGCCACAATGGCTGGAGTGGAGCTAATCCGAATCCAGGAGCTTCTTGGTTTCTCATGAGTACAGGGTCACAAGGCTTTGGACCATGCTCTACTGCTTTCCTAGGCCACAAGCACGGAGCTGAAAGGGAAGTGGAGTAGCCAGGATACAGTATCCATATGCAGCCCTGGCACATGCAAGGCAAGGGCTTTAGCTATTATGCTACTGAACCATGTCCTATCATACATGTTAAACTTTACCAAAGTTTGTTTTTATTCGTTTCCATTTCTCTTTAGTTTTGGTTTTTTAGAATTGAACAAGAAAGTACTAAAGGAAAAATTCATTTGAATTTTGGTGACCATATTTACACAGTCTTCATTTACTCTGTATACAAGTATTTGTTAAGTTCTTGTGATTTGGTTTCTGGCAGTCAAGCAACAATAGCATATACATGCCAATTCCTGTACAACTGACTTGGAAGTAGAGAAATGGAAAATATAAATATTGTAATTTCAGATAGCTTCAAAAGCTATTAGGAAACAAAAGTTCGGGTAGTGTCACTGAGGTACAGAAGGGATACCTGTTGCAAATTGGATGTCTAGCACATTTCCGAGGAAGCGATGCATGAGCACATCTGAATTGTATGGTGCTTATCACCATGTGGAGACATGGAGCTCAAGGATGGTGACAGCAAGTGCAAAAGACATAAGAGTTTGGTTTAGTCTGCTCAACTAACTCACTAAGGGATATAGGGAGAGGGTCTGAGTGATAGATTATGACAAATGGGCAAAGTCTTCAGGGAATTCCTAATCAGGGAATTCTAAGGTCTTAGAGAGTTTGGACGCTCAACCTACACTGTCACATAGTGTCTCCCCACTGTTAAGAAGATCATTCATATTGGGCAGGCAAACACCCTACTGCAGTAAGACTTCTTAGCCAACTTGATTAAAAGACAAATTCCACATGTTCTCCCATAAATGTGGGAGCTAAATTTTTTAAAGCAAAAGCAAAAAAAAAATCATGTATGTATCAACTTCATGGGAAATACAGTGTTTTGTCAAACTTTGCTTCTAGTCTTTGTCAGGAAAGTTGTTTGAAGTTCTATACAACCCTTGATGACCCATGAATATCTAGAAATTTACTGTATATTGGAGAGGTTGACATTTTTTTTCATGTGATTGTTGCTTATAGTCCTTGCCTATGTTCCTTCTGAACTGGGTAAATCTTTGCTTTTTGTTTGTTGCACTCATATTCAGTGGAGCTTTAAATCTTTGACTATAATGAAAATGCAAAATGTTACCTCAAAGTTTAAAAGAAACAAAAAAAAACACTTATAAAGCAGAGTGGCAGAGAGAGAGAGATGCAGTAAGAGATCCTCCATCCACTGACTCACTCTCAAGGAAATTATACATTTTGTTTGGTGCTGCATGTGCTATTTGCTTGTGTTGATGGGAAAGATCAAGCATTCTTGCCATGCCTACAACTTGCCTTGCTATGCGTCCTTATCAATGACTTTTTGATGAAGAAACTTGTCTATAGAATAGAGATCAACTTAGTCTCTACAACCTGACACGCTCAATCACCCAATCGTAGTTTATTAGACTTCTACAAGACACTTGACCCAGTAAACACAGGGCATTATTTTGTCAGTGGCCTGTGAGTGACTCGCTATGGAAGCTCTAACCAAACTGTGATGACGGTGTTTAGCTGAGCATGTAATCAGATTCTTTCAGCATCTGAGTTGTGAGATGTGTTTATTCATTCAGCTGGAATGGAAGTAAGAATGTAAAAGAATCAGAGGAAGAAGCCATGAAATGCTAGGGTCTTGGAGGAATACTGTCACAAGTGACTAATTTTTCAGAGCAAAACGGAACCACTGATTGTTAAAGCATGAATTGATTCCACAGCAAAGAAGAATCACATAATTCTACAATAATGGGTGACTAGATAGCTAAGGTTTCTGAAAAAATGACATGATAATCCCATTTAAAGAGTCCTCAGATCCTTCTATTCAACAAGCTACGTGCAAGGCTGAGTATGAGAGGAGGTGCTGTCTGTTTGGTCACTGCCAAAATTCCGCAAAAATGTTTCTGTCTCCCTGTGCAGCATGTCCTCACCATAAACCTGTTACTTACAGTAGCTTGATTCAGTTGTCATCTGATTATGTTCTATCCGGGAGCATGAAACATGTTAAATTTGTCTTAACACCACCCAAATGCCACACAATGTGTTCTAGACAGGTGCTCTTTTACATTGGTCTACCTTATGGTTATTGGCAGCCAAATAAGACCATAAACAGAAGTTTTGCCAATTACATTACATGAGTAATGATCTAATATTAGAATGATATTCTCTCTCATTCTGACTCCATGGGAAATAATTAGAGAATCATTTTCAGTGAAACTCAGAATCAAGAGATCTTGCCTCATATTAGTGATTTCCGTTGTGAAAGAATCAGTCTTTATGCCACACTACTTAAAAACATACATTAGTTTACTACTACAAGTTCTGAGTAAAATGCAACATCTGCTATTTTTTTAATTAATGAATTTTCTTTGTATCTGTCTTATTAAACCCTTCTAACCATTTTGAGAGATCAGAATCAGTTCCCAATTTCCAGAACAACTCCTATTTAGTACAGAAATAAAAATGGAATAGAATGAAAGTAGAGTGCACAATTAGGGACTGCAACGAGCCTGAGGCTAAGCCTAACATGTTGCCGTTTGGTAGGCAGAATGTGCATAAATTTCTTGCTCAGAGATTTGAACTTCTCACTTTGTTTGGTTGCACCTTGCTCTTTGCTTCCTGATTTTCTCCCTCCCCCGCAACCCAATGCTCACTCAATCTACCAGGCAACACTGGGTTATATAAATCCAGGAACAGGTTCAAGTGGCTGGATTCACTTATGGGCCTGTCACACTAGGGTTGCAATGAGGTATGTCATGAGATTAGCCTTTTCAGATGGATTTCATCCCATCCTTGCCTTGTCACCAGGCACAGTCTGTCATAGATTCAGGAACAATCATAGTTCTCAGGATACCAACGTGTTCTCTCTCCAAGGAAGCAAGTGATGAACTCTTACTGGTTGCTGCTTAATTCTTCATTCACCAATGGGCAAGACATTTAGTGTTTCACAAACCATAATTTTATGATTTGTCTTGGTTTACCATTTGTAAATAGACTGATTTGCTCTCGATAGAAACTGACACTTTACAGCTTTTAAATTTTTTCAAATTATATGGAAACAGCCAGAACTTCAAAGCTAAATCTTTAAAGCTATGCCAGTGGAGGCATGGTACTTAATCCTCTGCCTAAGCTACTGGCATTTTGTACTCTGCCTACTCCACTTCCAGTCTGGTGCCACTGTGTATGCCACGGGAAGGCAGCAGAGGATGGTTCAAGTTGTTGGAACCCTACACCCATGTGGAGATGTGAAAGAGGTTTTGGATCAGTTCAACTCTGACCACTGCACATATTTAGGGAGTGAATCAGTAGATGGAAAATGTTCTGTCTTCCTCTCTGTCTTTACTTCTCTAAAATCTGCCTTTCAAATTATTATATATAATGTGTGTGTATATATATAATTTCTAGATATTAAAGTTAAAACTGGTGAATAACAAAGACTGATTGCTTTTATTAGATGAGAGAGTTCAAAATCTCCTAGTTACGCATTGACAAAAAGTTAAATAGTTAAAAAAAAAAGACTGAGTACCTAAAAGTTAATCTTTACACAGTTTCAGGTTTCACTGCAAGAATAAGCAAATTATACCTATGAGTTCAAACTTTAGAATCTAGTTAAAAATCCATTTATGTACAAAGAAATCTTGTACTTTTTTGAGAAAGACAATGTTACCTTATACACACAAACTTCAGTAGCCAGACCTTGAAAAATGAGTGACATCACACCTTGTGTAACTTCACATTTCTATCCAGAATATGAACTACATGTTGAGCTTTCCCATTCAAAGATCGATGTATTTATGTAAATAACACCCTGCCCTTCTCCAAAGAAAGTCAGGAGGAAAAAAAGGAAACCACTTTACTATGGAGAGAAAAATATACCAAGTTTCCATTCTTAGGTAAATATTTCATAAAATGAAAGGGGAACCAACTCTGCTCAAGCAATAGACATTTTCACTTCTCTAAATGAATACTCAATAT